ATAAAGTTGCCATGGAGGAAATTTTTATTGAGGTATTCTGTACGTATACTTTAATAAAAAATCAAAATTAGGTGGTAGTACTCCACTTGCCACCCCACCTCTAAATGCTGGCCTAATCTGCAGGTCTTTCCTAAAGGTTAATATCATTTATTCACCAATACTAAAAATAGAAAAATTTACAGCAATTCCAGGCACTGATTTGACGCTGAAGTAGTGCTAGAAATAGAAAACATTCTACAATAGGTTACACACTTTGTTTTCACATTTACATAAGTTGTAACTAGAAATATGAACATCGACTGCAAATAAGAAGAATGATTAACAGATATTGCCCACAATGTTTTCTATTTTTCGTATGTATAAGTATAAGTCAGGTACACCTAGACTTTGAGGCGCGTCCAGCTTTTAGTCACTTTTAGTCAGTCATCGTGTTGATTGCGTGTCTACAAATCGGCGATTCTCCAAGTTGTTTAAACACCACGAGGGAGAAGCAAGGAGTCGAAAAAACAGTTGAAGTGAGAACAAGATCTAGAGTTGTCGATTTGTATTTTCGTGGACTGTCATTTGCTGAGATTGGAGATCGAAGAGGTGTTTTAAAGCAGACAACTTATAATACCGTCAAACGATTTGTTACCACCGAGAGTGTCCTGTCAGGAAAGCATACGGGCGACCAATCCGCGACTAAAAACTGACAACGTTTTAGACTGTGTCGAATATTATAAAAAGTTTAGACCGAGCATTTACGGACGGGAAATTCGACAAAACTACTCGAAGACGGTGTATGTACGGCGGCACCACTTTATGCACCCCTCTCACTGAAATAACATGTAACGCAAATTGAAGTAGGAAACTAAGTTTAGAGCCTCGGTCGTTTATTGCAGGAGAGATTCAAAACTATATGTACCGCCACTTGTATGAGCGGAGCTTCCGTCTGGCGTGTTTCAAATTGCAGACATGCTGTCTGCATTATTTAACAACTTATGTTGTGTGAAAGCAAAGTGAGTAACCTATTGTAGTAAGTTATCAACATCTAGCACTACTTCTACGTCAAATCAGTGCCTGGAATTGCTGTAACAAATCTGGTAGAAGGTACTTACACACTAAGTATCGAAGCAAATGAGGTAGCAGTTTTTGAGATGACTAACATGGCATTTTTTATAAAAAATACACTTGCATAAACAAGAAATTTGAGGATATGGTAACAAAATGAACAAATCTGACAGAGGCTCACTCATGGTAACTAGATACCTAACATCAGAACGATTGGGTTGATGGTCTTTTATAGCAACAGTTGATAGAAGTGGAATGTGGAACAGATGACAAAAGACACAAACAGCACCACTATGTCATCTTTGATGACAATGGCGGTGAAAAGCCAGAATATAAGTTCTATATCTTCTTTGGTGGTCAGCATTTTACTGTAATCACAAAGTAAAAAAAAAACATTCACACAAAATGTTAAACAAGGGAAAAACACCTTGAAATGTGAAAAATAAATAATATACAACTGGTTTATTAGTACTAGAGGGCAGTATTACACATGCCTGGACTGTCAGCAGCAGAGGACAAGATAATACACAACTGGTTTATTAGTACTAGAGGACAGTGTTACACATGTCTGGACTGTCAGCAGCAGAGGACAAGATAATACACAACTGGTGTATTAGTACTAGAGGACAGTATTACACATGTCTGGACTGTCAGCAGCAGAGGACAAGATAATACACAAATGGTTTATTAGTACTAGAGGACAGTATTACACATGTCTCGACTGTCAGCAGCAGAGGGCAAGATAATACACAACTGGTATATTAGTACTAGAGGGCAGTATTACACACTGCTGAAATTCATTATTTATCTGTCTTTTCACACTGAAAGTTGGTACAAAATTGTTAGCTTGTAGCTTGATCACATTGATATTACTAATTACATTCTCAAAATTGTTGTGGTTAAGGCATCTTGACATTTTTTCCATTTTTGTTTTGTGATAGGATTATCTTCTAATTTTCAATTAAGGAATTGTTAGCCTAGTATAAATAACATTGTGATCACTGCCAATATCAAAAAAATCTGTTACTATGTAATTGAAATTGTCATTAGTTAGACCATGTCCACTTATCTATACTCACTGTTAATAAGCATTGACAGATAATAATAATGAGATTAACTTTTTTCCGTTATTATTAACCTTATTACCCTCTGATTTCTCATGATTTCGACCATTGAACTCACCTAATAATATAAACTGTTCATTTGATTCTTGACCCAGTGTGACATTTGATTGAAATCAACTAAATAGATAGGCTTTTAAAAATACAATTCTTTTCATCAGACGTCACACTTACATAAAGTTTATCCATCATGTCAAAAAATCAAATCTGATTTAAAATTAACAACACAAAAGTCGGTATTCACATACTTTTGATTAAATCCACAACAGTCAGTACTTCGTTGATTTGTACATATAGTCTAATTAAAGGGCGGTAGTCGTCGCGCTGTGCATGTGCGACATTTGTGTTGATAAACATTGATTTTTCCACAATCCAATGCACTCTTCGAATTAAATCACAAGTATGAGGTTTGACCTGGGTGCTACTTGTACTAATTACCGCTGGTGACTCCTTCCAATCACCTGTCAATACCAAACTAAAGCTTTGTAATAAGTTTGTACTCGTTGATCTGTGCAAATCAAAGTCGCCATCTTTGTTTACCGATATATGAAACCCCTATATCTCACACATGGTGCGGCTGTTTAGTGGTCAGTCAAGTCTAGTTAACAGTTTAGTGGTCACTCAAGTCTAGTTAACAGTTTAGTGGTCACTCAAGTCTAGTTAACAGTTTAGTGGACAGTCAAGTATAGTTAACAGTTTAGTGGGCCAGTCAAGTCTAGTTAACAGTTTAGTGAACAGTTTAGTGGTCAGTCAAGTCTAGTTAACAGTTTAGTGGTCAGTCAAGTCTAGTTAACAGTTTAGTGGTCAGTCAGGTCTAGTTAACAGTTTAGCGGCCAGTCAAGTCTAGTTAACAGTTTAGTGGACAGTCAAGTCTAGTTAACAGTTCAGTGGACAGTTTAGTGGTCAGTCAAGTCTAGTTAACAGTTTAGTGGTCAGTCAAGTCTAGTTAACAGTTTAGTGAACAGTTTAGTGGTCAGTCAAGTCTAGTTAACAGTTTAGTGGTCAGTCAAGTCTAGTAAACAGTTTAGTGGACAGTCAAGTCTAGTTAACAGTTTAGTGGTCAGTCATTCTAGTTAACAGTTCAGTGGTCAGTCAAGTCTAGTTAACAGTTAAGTGAACAGTTTAGTGGTCAGTCAAGTCTAGTTAACAGTTTAGTGGTCAGTCAAGTCTAGTAAACAGTCTAGTTAACAGTTTAGTGAACAGTTTAGTGGTCAGTCAAGTCGAGTTAACAGTTCAGTGGTCAGTCAAGTCTAGTTAACAGTCTAGTTAACAGTTTAGTGGTCAGTAAAGTCTAGTTAACAGTTTAGTGGACAGACAAGTCTAGTTAACAGTTTAGTGGTCAGTCATTCTAGTTAACAGTTCAGTGGTCAGTCAAGTCTAGTTAACAGTTTAGTGGTCAGTCATTCAAGTTAACAGTTCAGTGGTCAGTCAAGTCTAGTTAACAGTCTAGTTAACAGTTTAGTGGTCAGTTCAGAGGGTAATTATTCAGTTAGTAACATATTTTAATTCAACAAAGAAATTTGGTGAAATATACAGACAAATATACATATGGTTTAAACTACATAATAAAATAATGGATTACTGCAATAATCAAATGGTTAGATCACAAAAATCTGGTTCCCGTAATTATTAGCAAAATGTCTTCATTTTCTACACTTATTTCGATGTTTAATAAATGGTTTAGTTTAATCAAATTTTAACCCATATCATGAAAATGATACATGCTAGTCACACACAAATTGAACTTAAGATGAACAGATAAAAATTACTTGAGTTAAAGTAACCACAGGAGGACAATTTTAGGTTAACCAGAATGTTAAAAAATATACATGTGACAAATCAACACTGTAACATGTCATTCTGGAGAATTTTTTGAACTTTCTGGTGAATCTGACGACTGGATGGGTGTAATGAATTTGGCATGTGTCTGAATCTGCCAATGTGTGACACATGCAAAAACATGGTCAAGATCCTGAACTGGTATCAAGGCAATTCGGGTGGCAGTTTTTGAAAAGATGAAAATAGCTTTTTTTACTAAAAATGACAACAAATATTTGCTATAACAAGAAATTTGAAGATATGGTGATGAAATATAACCAAAAAATAAGTTTAAACCAAAAGCAATGATGACAACAAGGACATATATTTTCACTTTATTTCTTTTTTCTGTGATGATATGAACATAGTAAAATTGACATTTAATTTAGTACATTTCAAGTTTGATAATATTTTTCTATTATTGTTGTATTGTATGTGTAGTTTAATTATAGTTTATTCTAAAAATACCAAAACTGAAATGTCAGATGCCACTAAGGATGTCATAAAGCATTATTCTATTCTATTCTATTCTATTCTATTCTATTCTATTCTATTCTATTCTATTCTATTCTATTCTATTCTATTCTA